ATTCAAATCAAGTATATAACATGGTCTTGTTACAAAGAGGTCCGGCAATCATGTAGATGATCCATTTTCTAAAATTTAGGCATGAAGAGTTACATATGATATTAGAGCAAAACCTCGCCTAATATGACGTAATTCAAGGACAAACCACACGAAAGTTGATAGGCATTTGACGTCCTAGTAAATGAGGAAAATATGAATGAATTGAAACCACATTTGAATATAAGCGATCATATCAAAAACTTAAACGAATTGATTCTTACTATCTATATCAACAAGGTGCATATTCTTTTTGTGACTCGATCGTAGAAACTTCAAAATTGGATATGTTTTGTTTAGAACAATTACGTGTCGAGTGACCTAAAAAAAAAGACACGTAATGAACTAAAAAGAAGGTAAAATTATGCAATGAGATCGTCATTAATGAACGACGGCACAAAATAAATTTGAAAATCTTTAGACTCCCACCAAATCCACTCTCATATCTAATTTTGAAAAAGCCAATAGACTTTCACACCACTTAACAAAAAGCACAAGAACAGTGTTCAATAAACAAAATACCAAATATGGTACAACAGAAAGATTGTAGGATGACCCGGATCCCATACTACAAAAGATTATATCAACAGGGTTAATCCACCATTTCAATTTATAATAAAGATCACTATTTCATGTTTGAGGCAGTAAAGTTGGAATATGCGACTTACCAGAACCTGAGAGAGCTTCAAATTTTCAAATTTGAGACGAACCCGTCGAACCGAGGATGCCTTTCTGGTAAATCTGTGGTAGCTAAACACTAAAATGAGTCGTGAGAATCCTTGATAATGTTGGGGCTTTCACGAATCTCGAGCATCGGACTGGATATTTAAGATTTGGGAGACTACAAGCTTGGAGAGTTCACTTATTGCTGCTTGAACCTCATAATCACCAGCTTCCCTGTGCCCTGCCCAACCTGATGATGAATTAGATCTCAATCCAGTGTATTCGCTTGCAGCAACCTTTGTCTTTGTAGATGTAGCAAGAACCTTTTCCAAATCCAACTGCGACAGTGGCCTTGGCTCCTGTAAACCGATGTGTAATAAGAATATCAGCAACATTCAAGGTCTCTTTGTATATAGCTAATGAATGAATGCCTACTCGATGCTAGTATAAAGACTCCGAAACTTTGTTACCGAGTCATAATATAAACCCTCATACGTTCTTGACCCATGTAAATGAAAAAATAATTATAATAATAACGTTTTTTTGATCAAAAAGCTTCACTTTTTTAGAATTAAATGGTGGTAGTCCCAAGGAGTATTTTAGTAACAGCCCAAGCCCAAGCCCAAGCCTAAGCCCACCACTAGTAGATATTGTCCTCTTTGGACTTTCTCCTTCCCTTTCAGGCTTCCCTCAAGGTTTCTAGAACGTGTCTGCTAGAGAGAGGTTTCCACATCCTTATAAAGAATGTTCCGTTCTCCTCCCCAACCGATGTACGATCTCACAATCCACCCCCCTTCAAGGCCCAACGTCCTCGCTGACACTCGTTCATTTCTCCAATAGATGTGGGACCCCCCAATTCACCCCCTTCGGAGCTCAGCATCTTTGCTGGCACACTGCCTCGTGTCCACTCCCCTTCAAGGTTCAGTCTCCTCGCTAGCACATCGCCTAGTGTCTGGCTCTGATACCATTTGTAATGGCCCAAGCCAATCGCTGACAGATATTGTCCTATTTGGCTTTCCCTTTCGGGTTTCCCCTCAAGGCTTTTAAAACGCGTCTGCTAGAGAGAGGTTTCCACACCCTTATAAAGAATGTTTTGTTCTCCTCCCCAACCGACGTGGGATCTCACAATTTTCATTATTCCCTTTCCCGTTTCATGTTTTGTCCATTCTCTCTACTGATCAATAATAGCCGGCAGATGAACAAACAAGTCAAAACAGATCATTCCCATCTCGTATGCCCTTGAAAGATGATAAACATAAACGAGATCGGTATTTAAACTTCATTGTCACAGCTAGGGAGCACAGTAGCACAGACATAAATCCCATCTTTTATTCTTTAATAAGAGATATAAATCTTATCTTAGAAGCAGCCTAAGTGATGCATGCAAATAATTGGTTATCAACTGAAATATCTCCTCCAGCGGGAAGAAACAAGTAACTAAGTAGATGGAAGCCGAAGAGAAAAGTGATAAATGTACTCACAGAAGATTGTTTCCCCTTCTTCTCTTCATCAAGAAGATCCCGTATCGGAAAATAAGCAGCTTTCTTGCATAGTTCCAGAATATCTGAACCTGTGTACCCCTCACACAAGCTTGCCACACGGTCATAGTCTATGTTGTTTTCAACCCGCTCTCCCTTCAAAATCACCTTTAATATCTCTGCTCTCTCCCTCCGATCAGGTATTCCGATCTCAAAGGCTTGTGGAAGACGCCGAAGTATAGCTTCATCCAGTTCGGATGGGCGATTGGTAGCAGCAAGGACCATCACACGAGCATTCTCTATAAGAATGGATATGACAAATTAGAACCAAAGAGCAATTATTATAAGTAAATAGTTACACAATCACACCACCATAATAAATAGTTACACAATCACACCACCATATACAATACAACTCAATCCTTCCGCTTACAAAGAGAAGTACAAAACAGGTTAAACTATGACTCACGATCAGTGGTAAATCCATCCCATAAGGCCATGAACTCAGTCTTCATGTTCGTCATTGCTTCATGATCTGTAGTTCGTCGCTGACCCAAAAAACTATCGACCTCGTCAATGAAGATAATAGCAGGCTGGAGCTTATAAGCCAAGCTAAACACAGCAGCCACTGAAATGTCATGTCAGGCAACAACCAATCAAGCATAAATAGTCGATAAAGAATCCTTCAGGACTTATAAATTCTATGTCATTCATACACAAGAAAGGAGCCAACAAATCCCTAGACTAACCTAGCTTTTGTGCATCTCCAAACCATTTGCTCATCAGATTTGAAATCCTGACATTGATGAAAACAGCTCCAGACTCCTTTGCAATAGCTTTTGCCAGCATTGTTTTCCCAGTACCAGGAGGTCCATACAATAAAACCCCTTTCTGCGGACCAAGAAGCTTCCCGTGTGAAAATAAATCGGGCCTCTTCAGTGGAAGTATCACCAATTCAATTAACGCTTGCTTGATACTCTCCAGGCCTCCAATAGAGTTAAATTCCACATCGATGTGGTCAGGGTTTATAACATCACAAGCAATCACATCCTGGTTAAAATGTAAGTAAGCCACAAGTCAAAAAAGAACAAGAACAACAACGTATCGATTCCTCAAGAATCCAAGGGGAAAACCAAATTGAATCAAACTAACAGTTAACCTAGATTAAAACCCGACACAACGAAATTAAAATGAAAAACCTCGTAAGGGTTTGTCTGGATGAGAGGGCGGCCCAATCGTTTGGCAATCTCCTTCTTGTGCTCGAGAGCCTTCTTCGAGGCCTCGCGGTTAGGGTCGAGGTGGCGGAGGCCAGCGAAAAGAACCAAGCAGCTCAAGGCGGCGCTGGCTGCATAGAGAAGCAATTCCTGTACGAACCTCGTCTCAGAAGAACCGCTCCCCATAACCGACGGCGATTGGTGAAGCAAGAAAAAGGAGTTTCCAAATCACTGCGCAGCAAACTGGGATTGTGATTCCGATTAACGAACAAAATGAAGAAGAAATTGATTGAGGTGCGCGTGGAGAAGGAGGTCTCTTCCGCTTACCCAAGGAGAAGAAAGAATGGCTCTGGTAGCATCTCGACTTTAGAACAAGTCGGTTTACGTGTACAACAATATACGAATTCGGATAATAATATTAAGATTAAAAAATATATATATATATATATATATACACACACGTATGTATATGTATATTCGTGGTTATGGTGGGTTTTATGTTCTAAAACTTAAACAAAAATATATTCTATTTTCAATAAAGTTATTATTGATGTTTATTTAGTAAAGATGGTTATTGAATAAAGTAAAATCATTAATTTAAATCCAATAAATTAAAAAAAAAACTTTGGTTACAGTATAATTACTTGAACTATACGTAGAAACATAAGAATGAATAAAGTTCAAGTATATAGTCAAAATGATCTACCGTAACAGTGATAAAGCTGAGTACCTTATTTTGGGGACACCATGGATGTGGCCCACTTTTGTATATGATATAAAGAATGTGATCACTAAATTGTACATGTGGAGACATGTAAGTGAGGGTGTCCTATGTAATGAGTATCGCATAAAATCGGACCATGAAGAAAATCACTGTCACTTTATAATGTCGTTTACTGTTGAGACTGATTTTTTCACTTGATGACCTAGGTAACTTGACCTTAATTCTGAGCTAACTATGAATTACTATTTATTTAGAATTATCCTTAGATTTGCATGGGTTAGAATAGCCCGAGTTCGACAACTCTCTAAGCCTCCAATTTCAAGGGTAAGACTGGGTGAATAGCTAGGGACACAGGGTGTAAGATAGAATTCACTCCTACCCGCTTTTAGGAATAGTAGAGAGGTTGTTCCCTTAAGTATTGACTCCAGGTCTTGAACAAGGGGCCTCACCCTCTCATTGGCTCGGGAGGGATTCGGTCTGGTGGTTAGACCACAAACCAATTGTTCATTAGCGGATTAATGGGACTTAAGGAACAAGAAGTAACTTTAGGAGTAAAAAAACTATAAATTGACCTAGATGAACTTACTCACCATGGTTATATCAAATGCACAAAAATATATCTAAAGTGAGGAGAGTGTAACTACTGAGCGTTAGCGTTGAGCGTCTCTGTTTGTGGGGGAGTGAGTGCAAGGAAGAAGTTTTTTTATATGGTGCAAGAGAAAGAACAGATTAAATTGTTTCCTTTTTCTTGAAAGGAAATGAATTTAGGTAGAGGACTCGAAAGGGTTAGAAGTCTTCAATGCTTGGAAATTTCTAGATTTTGGTGATGTTTTGAAGATTAAAGAGATCTTTCAATTGGGAAATTCCGCATTAAATTACCAGTAAATTGCTTTTTGACTTCGTAATTAACTGCGAATCAAGGGCCATTTTGCCGGCCTCGTTTTTGTTCTTTCATTGTTACTATAAAACGATTTGTTTCCTCCGTTGCCAAATCGGGAACTAATCTGTAATCAGGCTTCGCCACAAACAGGATCCGATCAAGTCGTTGCCTCTTCAATCCTTTTTCATCTGTGAGTGAATCTGTTCCTTACGAATCCATTTCGATTTCGATGGTTTTGATTACTTCTATTGGGGTTTTGGATGTGAAATTTGAAGTTCTTGGCCGCTCCTCTTCGATTGTTTGTTGATTGTTGCAGTGATATATGGCTTCCGATCCGAAGGTTCATCTGTTCGAAGAAGTGGCAAAGCATAACAAAACGAAGGATTGTTGGCTTGTAATCTCTGGAAAGGTTGAGTCTCTCTTGGTTTATTGTTCGTATCGTTTTATTTAGCATTGGATATCAGTTTTCTGGTGATGTTTTTGACGGAAAATTCTTGCGAACTCTGTTTTGTCATCGAATATCCTCTAAAAGAGTTTGATATAGGCGTGTTGGCTTTGGGGGTTTCAGTGTTTTACATGAATGTTCAAATTCAAATATCTTCTTCCTTGTTCTTCACCGAGCCGGATTCGTTTCTGTCTTAATATCATTTTGTCATAGTAATATCAAATGGGAAGAAAATGGTGGTGAGCTGCAGCATATGAAGATTAAGTAAAGCAGTGGCATTGTTTTCATATACGCTAAAGAGTTTGTCCAACCAATTTTGAGCTTGAAAAACAACATTTAATGGTTGAAAATTGTCCTAAACTTCACTATTTACTATGAGGTTTCAGGCAATTGTTTCTTGTCCCCATAAGAAATCATAGCTTCGTTGAACTGATTGTTATAAAATGCTTAGAAGAAGTATACCACCCAAGGGGTTGGGCGTGGTGGTCTAGACTTGGGGTTAACCAGAGTGGTGTGTTTAAAGCCTGCCGTTTTGGCTACGTTGTGAAGATATTGTATTTGTCATATTCATGGTGAATATTGAGAGCTTGGGGGATCAAGCTAAATGTTTAAACTGTTGATGAATAGAGATGAGGTAATTTAAAAATTCTTGACGTGTTCTCTGTGAGATCCCACATTGGTTGGAGAGGGGAACGAAGCATTCCTTATAAGGGTGTGGAAACTTATCCCTAACATACGCGTTTTAAAACCTTGAGGGGAAGCTCAGGGAAAGCCCATAGAGGACAATATCTGCTTGTGATGGACTTGAGCTGTTACAAATGGTATTAGAATCAGGCTTCAAGTAGTATGCTAGCGAGGATGTTGGGTCCCTAAAGGGGGGTGGATTGTGAGATCTCATGTCGGTTAGAGAGGGGAATGAAGTATTCTTTATAAGGGTGTGGAAACCTCTCCCTAACATACGCGTTTTAAAACCTTGAGGGGATGCCCAAAAGGGGAAGTCCAAAAGGACAATATTTGCTAGCGGTGAGCTTGAGCTGTTACATTCTCGTTTAAATATTTTCTATCATGCATTCAAATTGTGGTGGTTACATTTGTGGAATGTTTAAAATGGTTTGAGATTGTGTTCAAGTCAACTTTATAGTTCAATGGGTCAAAATATATGTCATTGCCAACAAGTCTTAGTTAGAGGTTCATATATTTCCACTCCACTCCACATGTTGAACTCGAAAGGGAAAACAAAGATCACGTGTTCGTGAGGTGTTACTAAGCTGGCTTGTTGTGTGTATCATAAGTAATTTATGTTATGTGGAAGCTTTAGATATCTTTTATTATGTTTGATTGTGGCTTTGGCTTTAGGTTTATGATGTAACTCCTTTCATGGAGGATCACCCCGGTGGCGATGAAGTATTGTTGTCTGCAACGGGTAAGCCTCAGAGTTCCCTTATATCGAATATATGTTTCTATTATTTTCAAGTCTCTTGCAAATGATGATTAGGATGGATACAATCAATGCTGTTCGTTGGAATCTTTTGCAGGAAAAGATGCCTCGAACGATTTCGAGGATGTCGGGCACAGTGATTCAGCAAGAGAAATGATGAACAAATACTACATCGGAGAAATTGATCCTTCGACGGTTCCTTCGAAGAAGATTTACATTCCATCACAACAAACCCAGTACAATCAAGATAAGACGCCCGAGTTTGTGATCAAGATCTTGCAGATACTGGTTCCCATATTTATTTTGGGTTTGGCATTTGCCGTTCGACACTACACCAAGAATGAATGAACGAACAAGTGATTAGTCGTATCCGCGTCGATTATGTTTTGGTAGAAAGGCTGTTTTAGCTTGTTTTTGCTTGTGTTTTCATGTGGTGGTTAGTCGTAGACTAGAGATGTCTGCATCGGATGTTGTATTCTACTTGATAATAATTAAGCTAAGGACTACCTTTTTCTCTGTTCCATCTTGCTTTGCTTTGTTTTGCTTCTTTTTACTTGTAAACGTTCATCTTTGGAGTTATATAGGCAAGGAATGGAGAGGAGGAATGTCTGGTTTGTCAACAAAACAAGTCCGAGACTCGAACTCGGAATCAAATATGCAAGATTTACAGACAAAACTATTTGGTTATTGGGAAAACTTCAATATATTTCTAATGTCGAATCGTGATCAATTAGGACAGAAATAAAGCAGTGTTAAACTCTTCTTTGGTGTCAAGGTAATAGCTATGCATAGTCATTGACTTCCAAAAAAGAGTAGAAGAATGAGACCTAGTACGGGACATACAATGCATTAGACATATAATCATTACACTTCAACTCGAGATAGCATTACCATGAATTCCAATCGGATGGCTTTGAATTATCATGGCTGCACTTGATCAATATCCCTTCAGTGTGTGTGTCTGTGTGGATTAAACCAAGTAAAAGATGTCATTGAAGCCGTCCAATCCAAATGATACATTTATGAATGATGAATTGAAGAGACAAATAGGTCAGAAGTTCATATAACTTATACCACAAAGCAAAGCAACATGTCCACAGCAGAGGTATGGCGACTCGATAAGAAGTTTCGATACGAAAACGGGTGTTTACAAGAATCATTTGATTCGGCTCTATTCTAAATATATGAATCGTCCCACACAAAATTCACTGATTCATCATCTTCTCACCACCAACCCACCTTATATAAATTTCAGACCCAAAAGCCAACATGGTTTCTTCATCGTTTGAATGAACCCCTGCTGCTATCATGTCATCATACCTTTCGAGGTTTTATAGTATGCTGCACTGACCAAAACAGCAATTCTTCTAACTTATGAGCTTTTCATTGTAAGCTGCACTCATCCGAGACAGCATAACGAAATGGCCTAAGTTCCACACTTTCAGGAGCTCAACAGCCACCCACAAGTTAGCAAAAACTAGAATGGAAAAGAAAATGGAAATAGACCCTTCACTTACTGGAAGGATGTCTCTATCTTGTCGTGTAAGGTTACCACCAAATTATGAGCACCGTCTAGAAGCTTCCACACGTCGAGGTGCCCAGCCATGCTATTACATTCCCTCAGAATTTCATCCATGCTATTGTACTTCTCTATGATCAGTTTTCTTCTTTGCAGCACAGAAGCAGCGATGGCATAAAGCAATAAATCATCTGTTGGTGGAGCTCGTTGCCTTATCCTGCTCCATGCAGACTTCCCCATTCCAGCCCTTATGGCTGCTTGATCAGCCCATATCACTTCCCACAGACATAGCGTCTGTTCAAATGTTAATTCCCTTCTGAATAGCACCACGACCATCCGATAAACGAAAAAGCAATCCTCCGCTTGAAGTTTCTCCAGGTGCTTGTAAAGGTGCGGGTCCTTGCACTTAATAATCTTAGAGACTATACTTAATTGCCTTCTAATCCCAACCTCATCGAGCCTAAAGTTGTGACGAGCCTTGCGCATGAAACCAACAAAACACCAGAATGCTTCATGATCCTCTGGAATCACAGTAATAATAGGAGAGAGTAGGTCGCTCATGCCTTGACAATAACCAATTTCAGGGTCATAGAGAGCATATGCTTCAAGAATTGCTACTAGTCTTGCAGCATGGAAAATCATGCAAGGTTCTAGATGGTCGTAATCAACTAAACCAACAGCCTCAGCACACCGCCGAGCTCTGCCATCTGAAACCATTGCTTGAGATGACAAGTATGGTACCCATTCTGAGTTAGAACGAAGTGCATCAAGTCGAATAATCCGCTGCCATGTTGCAAAATCTTCACCACTATGGAGTTCTGATGATGAGATCTCGGCCCTAGATGGAGAAGAATTTTCCTTAGGCATCGGATCGGGAAAAGGTTCTTCCATTCCATCCGTGGACGGAAAAGCTTGACTAACATCCAAGTCATCTGAGGATTCTGAGTCAGAGGAGTCCGAATTCAGTACCAAAGAACCATCGGCTGTTATCCGTCTTGAACTCCCCTCCCCTTCCAACAAAGAGTTGAAGGGTTCATCCAAAAAGTCAACATTGGAGCACCTTTCTTCACTAGAAAGGGACTCTCTAGCACTAACCACATCTTCAGAACTAGGAGAATCTACGTCTCGCACAAGAAAGCCATCTTCCCCAACGTCAATCATGTCCCCAAATTCGTTCCATTTAGAGCTTTGATTCCTACGTTTTATTAACCGCCTGCATCGTTTACGGAGTTTTTCATATTCCTTCCTGCACCAAAAATATTAAAATTGTAAAATAAAATCCCTCATAAATGGATGTGGATGAATAGAGAGGGATGCATCTTGCAACAGCCTAAGGTAATTCATAAAGAGTCCAGCGTAATACAGAACAAAAAATTTAAGAAGATATCGCAAGTACCTTTTTTGAGTCTTTATAATATCCCTTTCCTCTTTAGAACTCTTGAGGTCATAGCTGTTAGAAGTTATGATGTCAGTCAAATAAAAACAATGCACTACCGAAAAGTAGAGAAGGAATTCACTATGGTATAGGATAAGACACCTCAAGAATTATTAATTTACAACTCATCTTAGAAAGATAAAATATGCATTGTACGGACTTTGTCATTCTACCATAACCTTACGAAACAAACAGAATAACGACACATCATTTTAAAATATTCATATATTTTTAATAATGACTTCAAACAATATATTTGTCAAGGCAAGGCTCAAACTTTTATTGGTCAATGCCTTATCTGAAGCATAAGAGGCTGGATTAAGCCCCTTATAGAAGAATCTAGCGCTTCCAATAGCTCTTACAGAAGAGGGTAACACTTCTGGTGAGAGCACACAGAGTTTTGATTCTTAAAGCACACTCGGTGCTTTTTACTTAAGGAAACAAATATTTCATTACAAGAGAACATCCTATACAAATAAGCCCATTTAAGAAAACTTAGTGATGGTAGTGAGGTTTGGAATGACCTTTTAGAATCATTACTTGAGTGATAATTGACAGACAATTTCGTTTTGGTACTTTCATATAAGACTTGTTAAGACATTTTTATGATACGTCGATTTCTTTTCTTTTTTTTTTATTTCAGACTTCTGTCTCAGGCTACCTCAAGGCTCAAGCTTTGTCTCTTCGAGAAAAATAATCTTTGACCCTGGTTTTAGCCTTTTAAAACATTGACCTTGACTGATGGATCTCACTGGAATTGGGTTAGATAGTTGACCTTGTTCAATTTAGTCATCTAATTAAGACTGACTGACAATGAACAATGGAAATGGCTCAAGTTGTATAAGATACTTGACAGTGTAAGATACATTCTATTACCCAGAAAGCAAACTGATAAAAATTTTAAAACAAGTCACTAATTAATAAATTAACAACTTCGATAGTATTTTCAAGATAATGTCAGCAAAAATCAACAATTCTAGAACACGCGATCTCATGCACAAAGGAATAGAACAGATCTTCTCCAAATATATTGGCCATTCATAATGGAGGTAGTAGACAGAAACCGAAAAGGTGAGTGATACTTACACTCCAAGAAGGAAAGGCCAAACCTCTGCCCGAATACTTGAATCAACACCCTAAAGCAAAAGTTGCATGAAGGTTTTAATTCAAGGACAAGAAAACCAGAATTGAGATAATGAAACTTTCACTAGATCTTAAAAGAGCAATAAACAACAGAACATAATTTTTACTTACTCCACTGCGAACTTTTTTTAGAAACTTAATTCCACTATCTCGGAGTTTCCCGTCGGGATTAAACACAGTTTTCCATTGTCGAGGAGAAAGCGCATGTTTTCTTTTTCTGCGCGACCATGGTGATTTGAGACGAGTCCTGAAATTGAAAGAGATAGCAGTAAGAAGAAAATTCTAGGAGTCTCTTGTTTGGGACAAAATTCAACTTTCAGTTGTTATTAAACTACACAAGTGACAGATATATGGCTTCATAACAAGAAGCAACATTCCAATGATGGAAAATTGAGTTATTACAAGTTGAAATTATCAGCAGTTATCAGGAAATAAGACAAATTCATGAAGCAAGAACTACTGTAACAAATTAAAAGAAACTGAAACAAGTATAGTTAACTTCAGGAGTCCCTTTCTCAATTCAATTACTCATTTCTGTGATCTAAGTGAATTCCATCCACCCAAGGCAGGAGAACGGAAGCCATCTAATAATGTTTGCAAAGAACAGTTAGAACGAATCCATTTCATGCCAGGTTGAAGTTGAGACATTGCAATGAAAAGTTTAAATAAGAATGCATAATGGTGATTACAAATCTCCCAATTAGATGCATGACATCAAGATCACAATAACTTACTGACTCCTAAAGCAGGGTTTCCAACGCCCCGGCTAACCTCGTTTACGCGGTAAAGCCGATCCTGTGTCTAACATGTTTATATCCCTTACAGAGCCATTCCAATTTGAAGGTTTCAAAAGAAAAATTAAAACACTTGAATTCTTGTCAAAGCCGAATCAAAAGAGGAGCGGAAAAGAAGAAGAAGAAGAAGAAAATACCCTTCGACTTCAAGAAGCAAAACGTTATCAACTTGGTTCATACAAAGGCAGTACAAACCTATTAAAGAAAACCACACAGATTTCTGCCTCATCAAGACCCTAAAAATAGTTTTGTAACAACAAGCTATTCTCACAACCGTCAAAATCAATGTTAAAGAACTATCCTCACAACCGTCAAAATTCAACAATCATCAAATAATAGCTAATGAAATTTGAAAATAGAACACAGAGCAAGGAACGATGATTGAGAGAATAAAGAGCATACGGATCTTCAACACACCTTGATCAGACTAAAATTGACCGCAAAAATCAGGAGATGACCAATTTAAGATCGAGATCTAAATCGGAACTAAAACACAAACCCCAATCAAGGGTAGCTAAATTAGTTACTCACCGATCAGAGGAAGAACTTGAAGATGGCGAGGAGGAGCTGACAACCACTAAAACAGAACGCAAGTGAACCCAAGACGAGGAAGGAGAAGAAGAAGAATTGGAGTTGGGATTAGATGACGACGAGGTTTGAGTTCTCCGCAGAGCTTTCATTGAGTATCCTATACACCACTGAGTGGGATGAGGGTAACTTTACCTAATTCCTTTTTTGCCTAACTAGGGTTTTAATAAATACATCGATTCCTGGCATGAAAGATTGTCGTAGCTTTGATCAAGAACTAAATGAGTTAAATGGGGGCAGAAACACATCGAACTCCGGCAAGGGAGCGATAGCGATGAGAGTTGCAGAGGGAGGCGCAGACATTTCCCGGAACCGAAATCCGGCGCCGGCATCGGAGGCGATGGTGGCGGAGCCAATGATGAATATGCAGTGGAGAGAGAAAGAGAGAGAGAGAGAGAAAGCCCTTATCCTTGACCAAGAGTCTCGCTCCTTAATCCCAACCAACAGAAACCCAACTGCCTTGATTCGTTTGCCTTTTACCACTTTCGTCTTCTTCACAACATTTCTCTCTCCCTCTCTCTCTCTCTCTCTCTCTCTCTCTCTCTCTCTCTCTGACTGTGTTTCTCTCTCTCTCTTGAGTGAGCTGCGAGGAAGAGAGAGAGAGGGAGAGAGAGTAGAAGACTCTGCGAAACTACTCTCCCAAATTTAATATTTTTAAATTAAATTATTAAATTATTAAATTTAGGAAATTAAGTAAAAATTTATCGGGAATGGATGTGACTCGCAAAACGACGTAGTTTAGGAAGTAATAATTTGAAAACGAAGTTAAATTATTGCAAATATTAAAATGTGGGAGTTGATTGACTAGCATTATTTAATAAATTTATAAACGTTTATTTTAAATTCATTTTATTTCATTCTTTATATATTTTTTAATATTTAAAATTAGTTAAATATCTAAAATTGAGTATTTGAAAATATATATAGATGAAAAAAAAATTTAATACGGAAATAAAAAATAATATTTTAACCTAAAAATAATTATTTAAATTCATTTGTTATTATTTTACTACTTTAAAAAAAAATACAAATTTAATCCATGAATGTGAAAAAGGGGTTTTGTTATTATTATTATTATTATTATTAGAATACTTTTAATAATTATGCTTTTGGACTAATTTCCAATTACTATACCATAATGAAAGTATATTATAGAAGTTTCTTCCAAATCAAGCTATAATTTTACTCTTAATTAAACAAAATAACAACAAAAAAAAACAATGAATGGATAGGAAAATAAAATATTTCAATATAACATTTAAATTAAAATCAAATTTTTTTTTTTTTTAATTTAGGATTTAGTCTGTGACTTTAAGGTGTAGCTCGATTTTGTTTTAATCTTCGTGGAAGAAGAAAAAACGATTCATCTGTGGATCCCACCAAATCATTAAATCTAGCGGCTGCTCTCTCTTTGAACAGTAATACATCGGTCACTAGATCGATAAAGAATCTCTCCAAAATTGTTTCTTTGATGAGTGGTTTACTGGCCACTAAACCCAGGGATCCCACCTTATTCTCAAACGTAGCAGCTCAGTTGATCAGCACTCTTATAGGCTCATCTTCCGTACCAATTCGGGGGCTAAGAAGAGCGACTTAATTTTGATTTTGTAAAAGTATAAGGACTAAATAATAAATAAAATAAATAAATAAAAAGAAATAAATTTTTATTTAAATATTAATAGTCAACAAAGTGGGCTCTTGGATTCTAAAAAAGATGGAAAAGAAGGAATAGAAAAAGAAGGATGTGTTTCCTTTTTTGCAAAAAGTATATTCATAAAAGAAGGCTTATCTAACAAATGATTCTTCCTTCTTCATTTAATTCATAACAAATCGTAAATCAAATTTCATTTCAATCTTTTTCTTTAATATACTACGATATACTACGACTACGAGTATCATTTCTCTCCATTGTCATGTCAACTTCCATGATTCTATTTTCTTTAGAGTTGAGAAGTACAGAAGACTCGATAACCTAAAAAATTTGATTGTGAGATCCCACATCGATCGAAGAGAAGAACAAAACATTTTTTATAGATGTGTAGAAACTTCTCCCTACTAGACACATTTTAAAAACCCTAATAGAAAGCTTTTCGAAGAAAACAATATATGCTAGTAGTGAAGTCTACTAGACGCGTTTTAAAAACCCTAATAGAAAGCTCTTCAAAGAAGACAATATCTGCTAGCAGTGAAGTTGAGTTGTTGCACTGATCAACCCAATTTAAACGGATTAGTGACTCGACAATCTCAAGCCAACCAAACCAATATTTTATGGTTGGTTTCGTTGAAAAAACTTACAACCTAAACAACTGGGTTGAGTCTAAAAGATAACCTAAACAATTAGATCGAGTCTAAAAATGTATGGATCGGACCAAACCCATGAACGAGAACGATTCTCGTTTGATATCTATCACTATCTTGTTGGCTTCACAAGAGAGAGAAAGGAGAAAAAGAAACATAAAGAGAGAGGAAATAAGAAATGAGTCCAAAGCAAAAGTAAGAAAAACAGAAGCATAAATATTGAAGAAGGGAATTTTGGTAGGACATGGTCCCTTTTGTAGGGCCATAGAAATGGTAGGCTTTTGCAAAAGATGGGCCAAAAGGGATTTTGGAGAATAATTTAGACCAAAGTTAGGCCTATATTCCAGTGAGATAGCGACAATACACTTCGGCAGTGTCTTGTAAATCAAGGCCACTTCCTAATGCAAAAGAATCTCTACCTGCCCGCCCTCTGTCTTCTTCAATTATTATGTCAAACCAAAACCATGAAACTGTTCCTTCCAACAACAAGCTTGCACTGTTCATAGCTCCCTGATGCTCCTACATTCAATGACCATAAGAATTCGTTACGTAATTCAGTTGGAGGACGTTAACTCAATAACGTCGTACAAAAACCATGGACGACATAGGAATGATGAACAAACGCCAAGCAGAAGTCATTGCTCATAGCAGAGAAACCAATACATTGTGAAAGACCGAGCTCGTTTAGTATGTTCTCTAAGCCTATTCCATTTGGTTCCCTCTTTTCGAAGAAATCTCTTAAAAACTCGGAAATGGGATGGAAAAGTCCCAACAAACTTACCCCCGTGTTCAGATGATGCCGTGCTTCAAGCTCGAACCTACATTTATTTATGTGAACATAAAGACTCTTATTCAAATCCAACGAATAGCGTAAGCCTAACACTCCTCGCCCCTCAATGGACGCATATCTCTTACACTACAGCTTGGAAGCAGCATCTTTGTCCAAGAACCATGTCAAAACCCCTTCAGGAGCAACCTTCTGAACAGGTAGTGTTTCAGCATTCTGAGAGCTTCCTCCTCCTAATGCTGTATACAAAGCATCAGCTTTGCTAGCACCGGGCGCCACAACTGCGATGTGTGCTGATGAGTTGATGACTGGAAAGGTGAAAGTGATTCTCTCCGGGGGCGGTTTTGGGGAATCCTTGATGAAGGTAACCCATTTCTGATTCTCACTCAGAAGGGGATGACCTGGGAATAAAGAAGCCACATGCCCATCTGGACCCATACCGAGAAGCATAAGATCGAATTTTGGGAACCCGCTTGCTGCTGAGACATCAACAACTTTGGTACTCACCAAATGCTTCAGGCAGGTTTCATAATCGTCAGCTGCACCCTCAGCCGACAGTGCATCGTTAATAGCATAAACGTGACCAGGTAGAATAGGCACCTATATAACAACACAATTACCAAAAAAAATATTAGCACAAGTGAGTATTCAATTACCTGGTGCTAAAGATCCCCTGAAACAATATATGCCCAGCTGAATATCTCAGACCTCAAAAGCAGTCATCTTTATCATAATCGATTGCCCTCTAGATTATTTTAAAATAACCATCACGTGTAAGGCAACTTATGCACACCTCGACTAATCCAAAACGAAAATCGCTAATAATATTTGACTTTGAACTCATTAGTTGTGAGATATTTAACGTCTTGAAAAAGGACTCCTCATGATTAAAACCCATGATCAGAAAGACATTGAATTCGAACTTCTCTATTAGGCGATTGAAATGACCATCATAATGGCTGATTAGGAAAATAATCTTATACAGAGTTGTATTAGGCATTAGACTTCCAAACAGTGATATGGAACGATAGAAAAATGACCTGTTAATCGCCACGATGCAGCTCAAAATAACTTGGATAATCTAAGAAAAGCTTTCAGAGTTCAACAAAAAATAAAGACGTTATTTGAACGTTCTTCCTAGCAGAAACTAATTAGATTAGCAATCTGTAATCAAGTGTTTTGCAGAGTAATCATCTTATATCTATGTGCTCCACTCCAATTCTATACACAATCTCCCATTCCAAATTCTTATAAATAGCTTGTTTGAAATGATTTTCCAAGTGCTTAAAAATGGCTTTTAAGTACTTGGAAAGTCATTCCAATCAGACTCGTAGTTTCACAATTATCTGCCTTTATTTTCAGCTTAGCTTTCTGTTTTAACTAGGAAAAAAATGTTTTTAAGAACAGAAATTGTATGAGAAGGCATAATTGAGCACTAAGAACATATACTAAAATGCAAACCACGATTTTGAAGATCTAAAAGTCAGTGTAACCTGAGAGAGAAATCCATCAAAAGCAAGTTTGTAGTTGCTGTCAACGTGATCCTTGGGTACAACTCTCTCATCAGCCCAAAACACGTGCCATTTCGACCAGTCTATTGAATCAATATATGGTGGCTCCACCAGTTTCCTGAAATTTGAGCCAAAAGGAGGCCCATATAATCTCATAAGCAATGAAAGTTCTGCCAATTATTTCACATTGCATCTCAAAAGAATATTCTAAAAGATCAAAGGGTTGCATTGACTATCAAAGCATCATCACGGAATCCTAAGTTACTGGTTATTGCATACAAGCATGTATTCAAAAGCAGAAGCACCTCAAGAAGCCACATGCTTGATCCTCATACAAAAAAAAGATTCTACTCTTAAAAGAACATGCCCTGTTTAACCTAACCCAGTTCTTTTCGATGAAACCAAAGACGGTTCTGAAATTGAAGAACATACGCGAAATTGCCAATTTCACAAACCTAGTAAGATCATCAAAAAATAACACAACAAAACAAAAACCAAATGGAAATACAAGTCGGGTAACCTAATCTAACCTGAGACATTTGATGAGAGATCCACCGGAGAGAACAACAGTGAAAGCACCCCTCTTCTTAGCAAAGTGATCTGACAAATCGGCGGTGTATTTGGCAAGAGAAACAGCCAAATCTTCCCCTGAATCAAACACCTTCTTCTCCGATGCCATATCGGTGGCGGAGGCTCCAAGAGACCTTGAACCGAGCTGCCGCTTGGTGGGATGTAAGCGAGAAACCCGAGAGAAAGTCAGAGAGGAGCTGAGGGAGAAAGCAGGGAGTGAGTTAGATGGAACCGACAGAGAGTGAAGCGGAAAGGAAAGCTTAGGAGAAGTTCGCAGAGCTGAAGAGAGCGTAGGAAGCGTGGAAGAAAGTGAGAGGGAGGCGGAAGCCATAATAAACTGAGAGAATTAATGGAGGAGTGGACTTTGTACATTCTTAATGCTTCAATGGATTTCCTTATTTCTTTTTTTGAAAAAAAAATATATATTTTTTAACCATTAAAATATGTTGGCATTGTTTGAATAAATTTAAGATTTGGGATGAAAATAATTAGAATAAATCTTTGATAAGAAATGAATGTGACCAATTATTACAAATCCAAAATCTTGAATCATAAATATTTTGCATATAAATTTTGAAAGATTGTACTTAATTATATTTTAATATAATTGTAACACAACCTAGGTCCACTTCTAGCATAGCTTTCCCTTACTTACGGGTTTACTGCTAGCAGATCTTGTCCTCCTTAGACTGTCCCTTACAGGCCTAGAAGAAGGTTTCTGCGCCCTTGTAAGGGTGTTTTGTTCTCCTCCCCTCTCCTCCCCAACCAATGTGGGAGGTTGGGTGTTTTGTTCTCCTCCCCTCTCCTCGCCAATCAATGTGGGAGGTCACAATCCACCCCCTTCGGAGCCAGCGTAATTTGATGTGGGACCCCCACCAACACCAAATCCACCCATTTGAGGCCAATGTCCTTACTGGCACACCGCCTCGTGTCAAGCTCTGATACCATTTGTAACGACCCAAGTCCACCACTAGCAGATATTATCCTCTTTGAGCTTTTCGTTACGGGTTTCCCCTCAAAACTTTAAAACACGTATGCTAGGAAAAGATTTCCACTTCCTTGTAAAGGGTGTTTTGTTTTCCTCCCCAACCAATGTGAGACATCACATTAATACTTTTTTCTTTTTTAAATATAAAATTTTTGGCTCATGGAACATCTATTGCCAACACAAAATTTTAATAACTATAATAATTTGAGTTTAAAAAAAAATTGACCTATAGATTTGAAAATATAAAATCATAAAACAACCAAATTATACATCAAATTATATTTTCAACAACTTTTGCTTTGTACCCTCTCAACTAAGTAGTTTCGAGTCAAGGTTGTTTTTGAGCTCATCATTTCATTCCCATTCCCACATATACGTTGAAATTTGTTCAAAACTTTGGTATATTAAAATGAACATGTAGTAGATTGGGAATTGAAGTGAGAAAAATCAACATGCATATCATGAATAAAAATATAGATTCAAAGAGAGAAATCACAACATCACTCATAATCAATGTAAACCATCCAAAATTGAGTCAAACTACAAAAGTTGTATCCATACTAATGAGAACATAATCCAAGGCTCTACAAGAAGACAGCAAGTGAATGAAGCAGGTACCATAACATTTTCTTCTTGGGATCATCAGCATTCTACTTGATCTTCTTCTTTGGCCTCAGCTGCAATTCAGTAAGTTTGAATTCAATCAAACAGTGATCGCAAATAATGAAACCAATCGATGGGTTTGATAATATCCTCACCTGATTGCTGTGTCCGCATTTCTTTTTCCGGCAGTTGACAGCACGAGGATGCAGGCGTGCATAGCATCTGTGACCCAAGTAAAGGGGGAAAACTTTAGAAACATTCTAGGTTCTGGAAGTGTTCATTGAAATTGCTTGGTCCAGTTTTGTACAAAGTGAAAACCAAATCAATTTCCTCCATTTCTTATATGTTACGACGGAACCAAACTAATAGAAACTGATCTCGAACCGAAAAACAAGTTGGTTTTCAATTTTTAGGTTCATTTGTTTTCTAATTGTGTGTGGTGATTTCGGGTCTACTAAAAGCCAAACTAAGCACAACCAAAAACAACTCTTTTAATGATTCAAACCAAATGAACAAACCAGTTGATTGGAAATCTATGGATCAATTTACTCAGTCAGACAGTGGGTTGTTTCAGTTCATATACCAGTCCTGCATCTAGAGTGAAAAAAAAAATGCCCAAAACAAAAAATGTCTTACTTGCGGCAGATCATCTTGTCCTGGTTATATTTCCTGGCCAGTGCCATCAAAGATGGTTCAATGATACCGCCACGAAGCCTTAAAACCAGATGAAGTGTTGATTCTGAACATACAATCAGAAAATCGTATATTTAAGTTAATAACGGAAAAGTAAATGAAACTAGTTCATGCACTGAATAAGATTATGGATTCATAGGTAAAAGTGCAATGATGCTTGTCAATTTCCAATCCCACTGAACACTACTTTTAGATATCCTAGAAAGTAGCCATTGAAGCAATCAAACACCAACAGAAATTTCTAAGCAATCACTCAAATAAAAGAAAACCACAAATCAAATGTACCTAAAAGAATACCGCACGTTCATTCATTCAAACCGCTGCTTGTAGTTAGTTCTAAGTTGAATAAAAGAACGTTGAAACAAGAAACAAGCACCAACTCACCGATTTCAATGTTTCACAGTTCCATTAAATCTAAGACGCCCCACCCAAAGAAAAGGAGCACTGTATTTATCCAAGTTCAATCGCTAATAAAAACAATCAGTACACAGGGTCTGGTTCCCGTTTCACAATTTTGCAGACTTCACTTATAAAAAATTCGTGGTTACGGTTCGTACACCGATAACATCCACGAGTTAAGAGAATCAAAAACGAATAACGACACCGGACAAATCTACAACAATAATTTCAGCCAAATTCTCCTCGACTAATTCGAATTCTACATAAAATAAAACTAAATGCTACCTTTCTGGATGTTGTAATCGGCGAGAGTGCGGCCATCCTCGAGCTGCTTTCCAGCAAAGATCAGTCGTTGCTGGTCGGGGGGAATACCTGGAGAGTTTACAGCATAAATCGAAAAAAACAACAATATGAATGTCAGATTCGCCGCTTGACTATAGAATAAAAAATCCGAATGCAAAAAAAGAAGAACGTACCCTCCTTGTCCTGGATCTTCGCCTTGACATTGTCAATAGTGTCGCTGGACTCTACTTCCAGCGTAATGGTCTTCCCCGTTAGGGTTTTGACGAAGATCTGCATTTTTCTTGGCTCCTTTTTTTCCTCCGCGTTTCAGAGAAGCGAGGGTTTTAATTTTCGATGGATATATATAACCTAGCAAGTGACAAATTACCATTTTAGACCTTGAAATTAAAATTTATTATTTCTAGAACTTTTAAAATTACAAATTCAATTTTCATCCTTTTAAAATATTAAAAATTTTAAAATTATAGAATTCCTTCTTATACAAAATGTAAATTTCGTAAATAAATTAAATAATATAACTGAAAATTGAAAATTGATGTTTATGGGTTAAATTTGATGAGTTTATATGTTTTTTAAATTTTAATATATATTTTAAAATATTAACTTAAATTTTGTATGATGATTGAAGGAAAAAACAATAAGAAATTAATTTCACGATCTAATTGGGTAATATCACGGCATATTCAAATCATAGGAGCAGAGGCCCTGCACGACACGTGCTCAGGATCAACCTCGATCCTTTGCCTACGTCCACCACTTGAAATTGGGCATCAACCCGACCCTATTTCCACGATCTAATTATTCTTTATTGGCTCTATCTGGGTATCAACCCGACCCTATTTTCACGATCTAAATTGGACATCAACCCGACCCTATTTCGTCTCGTGCTTGACCTTTTCTTATAAGCTTTATTTGTGACTTTATTTGTGATATGGGTTTATCGTTATAGTCTAATTTCACCTCTTCCACGTATCGATCGTTTTGAGCTAAAAGTAAACTTGATATTGACCTATAATACGACCTCATAATATAATAATTAATTTTTAAAAAACTATATAATAAATAAATAAATAAAATGCAATTTCTCCTATTTTTTAAAGGTTCATTATCAATCCCAAAGTCAATAATACTCAACTTAATCTTTAATTTGAAAAATTCTAAGCTAAAAAATAAATAATTATAATATTTGCAAGAGCGGCTCTTTAATTTATTGAAAAGCTATTTTTTTAAAAATTGAATATTTTTAATTTGTGTTGGAGGAGACGGTTTACGAAAATAATATAATTATCGGGATGCAATTTAATATTAAAAAATAATAAAATTTGTTAAAATACCTTAAATATATATTTGGCAATAATAAAATATTTCAAACTATAATCACTCTAAAATAAAAACTATTTTTCCAATTTTATACTTCAAATCTTATGCCGAACAAAAATTATATTTTAAAAGCATCGAATTAATTAAATTCGATCAATTAAATAATCCACGTTTATTTTTTTATTTATAGATAAATATGTTTATTTTTAGTTGGATTTTTTCAATTTCCTAACTCGGGCAGATCACGTCTGCCCATCACTTGAAATAATCTCAACCGTCGATTCATTTGATTTATAAAAAAAAAAAAAAAACGGCCAATGAAAAAAAAAAATATATTTATTACGCGTGCAAATTTATTTTTTTCCTTATAAAGAAAAGTCCAATAAATTTTTGTTTAATATATATATATATATATTTTTTTTTTTCAATATATAAAAACAACCCATTTTCCATTTTCTAAGAAAAAAGGGGAAAAAAAATAAACGAGGTGTCGATAGACAAATTTTTGTTTATATATTAACGTAAAAAAAAAAATAAACTTTATATATATATATATATATATATAAATAAATAAATAAAGGTGGAAGAGTGTTAATGATACTTTTAAAATTTTATCAATATTTTTAAAATATAATAGTAATAAGAGTATTTTAAAATTTTTAAAATTGATAAGGTTAAAAAAATACTTACTATTTTCATAAAAAAAGATTAACGGTAAGAATATTTTTTTCAATTTTTTTTAAAATTAAGAATATTATTAAAAATTTTAAAAGTTTATGAATATTTTTTTATACGAGTTTTATTAATTTATTATAATATTTAATTTTTAAAAAATAAATAACATAGAGATGAACACTCAAATTGTAAGATATAATATTTATTAAAATCTAAAATACCCAAAAAGAAAAAATGTAAATATTAAATGGTTGACCTTCTAGAAGCCAACGAATATCCGCGAAGTCCGTTGGAAAAATAGGGTTTTCGTGGAAAATGTGTTTCTCCACGTTGTTTATAAATAATAATACGTCATAATTCAAATTAAATAACAATAATAGTTATTATCTGACGTGGCAAATACTTAAAAAGGGTACAAAAGTTAGGATAATAGTTGAACATTTCAAATTTGTCTTTTGACTTTTAAAATCCGTTACTTTTATCTTAATGCGTTGATTTTTATTCCGAAAATGAAAGTGATGAGCTTGTTGTAGTTATTTTAACGTTAAATGTGAACGTTTAAAATGACGTGGTGGCTCGATATTCCTGTTGAATCGTTGACTTTGCTTCTCTCGATTTTTCGATTTGTTCGTGTGGTGTGTTTTTTCTTGTTCGTGGCAGTAGATTTTGTTTTTTCGTGTCTTGACCTCAGACCATGTGGATAGAAGGTTCAATCTTCATTGATATTGACAACGTTCAAATATGATACCATATACCACCTAATACCTACAAGGAATAAAATATAAACTAATTAAATCTTAAAATTAAAATAAAATATATTACTAATCAAATAAAAAAATATTAAATATCTAAAATATATTATCTAAATATTAACCGATTATGAATATCTTGACTAATTTAAACGTTTATTTATTTATTTTGAATAAAACTTTTAAAATCTTTAAAAATTATTTTTAAATAAATAATGTTAATAAATTATAAAAATGAAATAAGTGTAGGTGTATTTTTTTAAAATTAAATAATAAATGTATGAAAATTCATTAAATGATTTGATTTTTTAAACCTCCTTAATTAAAATTTAATTTTTACTCTATTTTATTAAATTACATAAATTATTTATAAGTTTTATCAAAAATAAAATTATAATTTTATTTTAAATTATACAGACGAAATTTATAATTTATTGATATATTTTGGATTAAAAAATAAAAAGAAAACTAGTTGGGTTGGCGTAGACGAAGGAAGAAGGCAGGGCAACCGTCAACCGACCCTTTTTGGAGTGGAAGCTAAGCAAACGACGGCCTGGCTTCTTCACACGGACTTGGAATTCAAATTCAATTCCCTTAATTTAATTTTCATCACTATAAATACAGCGCCTCTATCTTCCCCAAATCTCTCGTCCCTCTCAATTTTCTGTAAATCATATGTTGAGCAGCCGAAGAATCAAATGAGCAATATCCCATCTTCGTTCACGGATTCCTCCTTCAACCTCTTTACTCTCGCCATTTCTTCTTCCGATCCTTGGCCATTTTCTCTCTGACGCCCTCAATTTCTTCCTCCGATCGTCTGTTCTGTTTTGTTTTGATCTGTTCTGTACTTCCGATGAAGCATCAGCACCTTCCGCCGCTGAACTTTCATCTTCATTTGCCTCACTTCCATCACCGGAGCAAGCCGGACACTCCCAAGGGCTGTTTGGCTGTTCTTGTTGGCCAAGAACAAGAGAGGTTCGTGATTCCTGTCATTTATGTCAATCATCCGCTGTTCGTGCAGCTCTTGAAGGACGCTGAAGATGAGTATGGCTTCGATCAGAAAGGTCCGATCTCAATTCCTTGCCCTGTTGATGATTTCCGTACACTTCAGGGCATTATTCATCATGATAGCTTCATTCATCATCTTCACATCTCTTGTTTTAGGCCCTCTGCTCACTGATTCATGATGTTCTTGAAAACCTTACTTTAGATTGGGGTTTAGGTTCTGTTTCTTTGTTTGTTTGATCATTCATACTGTTGATTTCTGGGATTTCCTCTGTTAATTCCTTCAAATGTTGTCCTAGATTGTGGTGTTTTTGTCATTTGTTTCTTTTTGTGAAGATTTGCGTCTCTGTTGAAGCTCAAACAACATAATCAGAGCTGTCTGAAATGGATTCTGAGTAATTTTTTATTATTCTAGCGATGGCAGCTATAACTTCGCTGCACGCGTCTTCTTCATATGTAAACTAATCCAGCTTGAATAATGAAAAGTCAAATTCTATTATTAAAATAAGAAAAATGGATTGTGCTTCTTCCATCATTGACTTCTTCCAATTACGCCTTCCACAGGCCACATGGATGAGATCAACTCAACCCCTTTTCGTATTTATAATTCTTCACTTCTTTATTCATATATTTTCTTCCTTGCAAAAGTCGAATAGCTCAATTACGATTGATGTGTATTCTTTAAGTCGAAGTTCAAAGTTTCGTACCTTGTGTTTCATGTGGTAACACTTACACGTATGTAAAGATAGTGATGTATGTATAATTTATCTTTCACACAGTATTGCAAAAAATAGACAGTTGAGAATTATTGAGAGGAGTAGTTCCACAAGGGAAGATCATGGGTTTATAAGTAAGGAACACTTTCTATTGGCACGAAGTTTCTTTGGAGAAAAAAAAAAAGTATTGGCACGAGGTTTTTTTGGAGAAAAAAAAACATAGCCATGAGAGTTTATGCTATGTGGACAACATCATATCATTGTGGTGGGTCGTGGTTTATAACATGGTATCAGAGCCATATCCTTAACTTAGTTATGTCAATAGAATCTTCAACGGTCGAATAATGAAGTTGTGAGTCTCGAATGTGTAGTTCAAAGTGATCAAGTGTCGAACAAATAATGTATTTTGTTCGAGGGCTTCAGAAAAGAAGTAGAATCTCAATTAAGGTGAGCCTATTTGAGAACTCCAAAGAAGGAAATCTCAGGCGAAGCTTTATCGTTTACTTTGTTTGAGGAGAGGATTGTGACGGATTACCACTTGCCTAATTAAGAGAAAGATCACGAGTTTTTAAGTAAGGAACACTATCTCCATTGGGATGAGACCTTTCAGAGAACCCAAAAGCATGCTCAAAGTGGACAATATCATATCATTATAAACGCTCGTGGCTTTTAACAAGAAAATCAAGACATATCAAAATCTGTATTATGCCTTCTGGGTTGTTTTTACAAGATGGAAGATTACAAGGAAAGAACTGGGCGGTGGGGAACATACAATACATATTGCAGCCTCGTTTCTTTTGTTGGCATGGCCATTCTTTCACTGTGTTCTCAGAAGCTGCAGGGAATCAAATTGAGAATACAAAGAGGAAAAAAATGAAGTGTATAGGTACTTTAGCTATTAATGTCTTGTATTAGAGTTGCGGACTGTAACACCATGCAAAAATCTTGTGTATCCAAAGAAACTGAGTTTCCCATCAGAACTTCTTGTCCAGTTCTGGAGAAATGAATGAGCTGCAGGACTTAGATTCATTTCCTGAACACATTTTAAACACTTCCTTCAGTTAACAGTTCTTAATTGTGTGAAATATAGTAATTCCAAGCCTCAAACTGTTGCTTACCTGCACCAATTCATGAACTGAAATGACTCGATTCCCGTCCTGCTCAAAATACTCGAAAGCTTGGGTGGCGATGCCTTCCCATCCTGCAACAGCCTCCAGCTGATATACACTGATTGCAGCTGCGCAGAACTCCTCAAAGTCCATTCTCTCATAAGCTACAGATTCCGTCTTAAAACAAGTTCGAAATGTTAGTGAAAGGGAACGTACCTTTCACAAAATGTTTCAAAACTACGCTTAAAGTAGATATTTGTTAGAATGTTAGATAGAAAATCGACGTGCCAGTGTCTTAGAACGACATGACAATCACTAAGATGCTCACCGAGATGAAGTTAAAAAAAACAATATTCAAACCATTGAATTCGTCAAACATTCTAATAGTTCTCTACTTGAAGGCGAAAAGTAAAAGTAATCTCACCATCTTTAGAATGTCAAGAACATTCGACTCTCTCATTGCATCGGTAGCGTTTCTCACGAGAGCCTGAACAAAGTTTAATATGTATGCATCAACAATAAACGTTGCAAATAAATTTCAAAGCAAAGAGAATGGCAAAAGGCTAACCTCTTTGAAGTTATCAAGGGTCACAAATCCATTTTGAGGTTCCAAGAGCTTAAATTGAGCCCTGAGGTAGAAAAGTTCATCTTCTGTCAAAGCTTTTGCAAGTGCCTACAATAATGTAGCGATGCCACAGTAAATGAACCTGTCTACTTAAAGTTAATGATGCACCAATGTGCACCAAACACTGTACAGAAACTGCATAGCAATAGCATCTATGCGCCCCTAGAAGTTAGCAGCATTACCTTCAATGCTGCACGCTTGAATGGGGTTACACGAAGATATGCTTTAACTGACTTGTATATGAAACTATCCAAAGGCACAGCAATGTTTTCATCTCGTAACCATGGGTGCGCTGTGAATCGAACGACCGACATCGTTTGTTTATTGTTAAGTATACTAGAAAAGAGAAGGAACCTAAGCATGAAAGTCTAAAGAATTTACTTAAAGCTTGGACTGCTGTCATTCTTTTTCTATGGTCTTTATTCAGGAGCCGTTTGACAAAATCTTTAGCTTCTGCAGAGATGGTAGGCCAAGGAGAATCGTCGAAGTTAGGATCGGCTCTTAGCACGGAACGGAAGATTCCTGATTCAGTTCTTGCCCAGAAAGGTCTGCCTCCACACAACAAGATATATGCTATGACACCAATGCTCCACACATCTGCTTCATGGCTATAAGATCTGTAGAGAACTTCAGGTGCAACATAGTATGCACTGCCAACGACATCATTCAGATGTTCATCTGCACAAGAACTATAGGTGTTGTGAAAACAGCCTCACCTCCAATGAGATGGCAATGTGAAAATCAAGTAAGAATTGAAAACAGCAACTTCTCAACGATAGCAAGAGCTTGGATCATAATGAATATGTAATAATTCAATAGTTCAAGTCCACCGCTAGCAGATATGGTCCTTTTTAGATTTTTCTTTTTGGGCTTTCCATTAAGATTTTAAAATGCATCGGCTAGGGAGAAGTTTCCACACCCTTATAAAGTGTTTCGTTCCTCTCTCCAACCGAGGTGGGAACTCATGACTCACCCCCATTCGGGACTCGGCGTCCTTACTGGCACACCGCCCAGTTTCTAGCTCTGATACCAACTGTAAAAACCCAATCCTACCGCTAGCAGATATTGTCTTTTTTAGGTTTTTCCTTCCGGGCTTCCCCTCAAGGTTTTGAAACGCGTCTACTAGGGAGAAGTTTCCACACCCTTATAAAGAATGTTTTGTTCCCCTCTCCAACCAATATTCGAACTTATAATCACACCACCTAGTGTCTAGCTCCGATACCAACTGTAACAGGTCAAGCCCACCGCTAGTAGATATTATCCTCTTTGAACTTTTCCTTCCAGGTTTTTTCTCAAGGTTTTAAAACACGTATGCTAGGAAGAGGTTTCCACACCCTCATAAAAAATGTTTCGTTCCTCCCACCGATGTGGGAACTTAAAAGAATCTCTCCCTACCAATCTTTCACATGATATGCAAATATTCAATGAAGAGAACAAAGCCAAGAACATACATAAGGACCAAAAGTTCTTACCTGGCTTGATAAAATCAGATAGACCAAAATCAATGACTTTGAGTCCCGTGTTCTCATCTTTTTTCACAAAAAGAAAGTTCTGCAAGAGGAGATTTTGACAACGACAAGTTACAACAAGTAATAATGAACTTTAACCATTTGAAGCTACAAGAAGATGTCTTACCTCTGGCTTTAAGTCACGGTGGACTACTCCTTGTAGATGAAAAAATGCAACAACATTAAGGATCTGCACAAGAATAGTTTTGGATTCTTGTTCAGGATATCTTCCTCCTCTGCAAATTACATTATGAAATTGGTATCAAGTTGATCAACGTTTTCTCATAGTAAATGAAGTAAACCATTCTTACCTTGACACTATTCTTTCCAGCAATTCTCCTCCTTCACACAATCTGATATCAAAAGTTCATGCAGTCAACTAATATTAACTTCAATGAGTACTCAGATATGTAGATAAGAAGATTAATACATACTCCATAACCATGTAGATATTATTGGCGTCTTCAAATGCATCATGGAATTGGACCAGATTCTTGTGCCCAGACAATGCTTTCAATATCTTAACCTCCCTACGAACATCTTCAATTCCAACCGCTGAAGTCATCTGTCAAACCAAATATCACTTGGTTTTAATAGAAATTCTGAGAGCTAATCGAGCAAGCAGCGAGTTGATATCAAAATAAAGCAAAACTAGGCAATGAATCACGGTGATTGTCCCACTAAATGTAACTACTCAAGCCCGCCGATAGTAGATATTGTCACTTTAGCCCGTTACATGTCACCGTTAGCCTCACGATTTTAAAACGTGTCTACTAAGGAGAGATTTCCACACTCTTATAAGGAATGTTTTGTTCTCTTATCCAACCAACGTGAGATTGTGGTGATCATTTCATAGGCCAGAGGGACATCCAATTTTGCAAATGGATTATGAATTAACTCAGGGTTATTCGCCTTTATATCATGAGGATTTCACGTCTAGAATGAATTAAATCAAGGAACAGATTGAGCTAAAGAAATAAAGATGGAAATATTGAGAGAATTGAGTGAACCTTAGATTTGGAGATGATTTTGACGGCCACAGGCTTTCCTTTGAGGTCGCCCTTTTTACCTCTGGCCCAAAAAGTATGTCCAAAATGGCCCCTCCCAATCTCCTTCCCGAGCTCGAACTTCGCACCAAAGTTCTTCGAGTATCCAAAGCTTTTATCCAACTGAATCTCTCCCACTCCCTCTTCCCCAATTCGGTTTTCCTCTGGTATCGAAGCCTTGCGCGATTTCCGCCGTAGAATAGCCATGATCGGCCTAGCCGGGGAAGGAGGTGGCAGAGGCCATCGGAATTTCCTCCCCGGAGTTCTAGCTGGTGACGGCGCTATTCCAGCAGGTAGAGGACTGGAAAATGGACTCCCCGTCACTGACACTGAGTAGGACTGCCTGAATTCTTCAGGTCTTGAATAAACATCTCCATAAGCGATCGGAGAGGCACCGGAATGCGAAGATCTCGGATGGCTGCCGCCGGAAATTCCAGTGTCGTGGTTGACATCGGAAACACTTTTGCTACACAAGTGTCCCATCGCGAAGTTAATCTCGAAGGAAGTCGTTGATCGGAGAATGCGCAA